TCCTCTCTCACCCTCCTCTCTCACCTTCTCTCTCACCTTCCTCTCTCACCTTCCCTCTCACCTTCCTCTCTCTTTCATTTCCTCTCTCACCTTCCTCTCTCACCCTCCTTTCTCACCCTCCTCTCTCACCCTCCTCTCTCACCTTCCTCTCTCACCTCGCTGTCACCACCCCCCCCACACAGCACATGAGTGCGAAACTCACGGATTTTGGAATGGCCACGGCAAGGCCCGAGGCGGGCAAGTCGCACGTGTCAATAAACAACTAGTGTCTTTTGAGATTTCTCAAAAGTCACACGAATATGACTGTTGCTGTATTGCTTGATTCGCCTGTATTCCCACACAACCCCTTCTCACCCCTCCGCAGCACATGAATGCGAAGCTGACGGATTTCAAAACGGCCACAGCAGGAACCCCCTACTCACCCTCATTCTCATTTTTCATCAGTTTCCCAATTGCACCTCTCCCTCTCTCTCTCTAACCCCTCTTCACAGCACATGAATGCGAAGTTGACGGATTTCAAAATGGCCACAGCAGGTCCGGAGGCAGGCAAGTCGCATCGCCTGATGCTACAGCAGAAGTTTCGCGCGGTGGAGATGGATAAACTCCCCTCTCACCCCCACACACCCGCCTCTCACCCCACACAGCACATGAATGCGAAGTTGACAGATTTCAAAATGGCCACAGCAGGGCCCGAGGCGGGCAATCTGCCGTGCATGATGCTCCAGCAGGGGTTCTGTGCGGTGGAGATGGATAAGCATGGATCGAGGGGTGGTGAATGGCCAGAGCAGGGCCTGAGGCGGGCAAGTCGCAGTGCTTGATGCTCTGAGGCCTCTCACCCACTCTCACCCACTCTCACCCACTCTCACCCACTCTCACCCCTCTCCCCCCACAGCACATGAACGCAAAGCTCACGGATTTTGGAATGGCCACAGCAGGGCCCGAGGCGGGCAAGTCGCATGTCTCTACTCGCATCATGGGGACGATGGGATACCTGGACCCTGCATACATCGACACAGGTGAGAAGGGGTTCAGTGCGGTTCACTGTGGTTCAGTGTGGCACAGTGCGGTTCAGTGCAGTGGAGATGGATGAACATGGATTGTGGGGTAGGGAATGGCCACAGCAGGGCCGGAGGCAGGCAAGTTGCATGTGTCTACTCGCATCATGGGGACTCTGGGGTACTAGGAACCTTCATTCATCGACACAGGTGAGGAGGATTTCAGTGCGGTGGAGATGGATAAAGATAATTTGTGGGGTAGGGAGTGGCCACAGCAGGGCATGAGGCGGGCAAGTCGCACGTGTCTACTCGCATCATGGGGATGCTGGGTTACTTGTACCCTTCGTACATACATAGACACAGGTACAGAGGGGTTTATATGGGTTGAGTGCGGTTCAGTGCGGTGGAGCTGGATAAGCATGAATCATGGGGTAGTGAATGGGCACAGGCTGCAGCAGTGAGCAAGTCGCATGTCTCAACTCGCATCATGGGGACTCTGGGGTACTTGGACTCATTGTACATCGACACAGGTGCCGAGGGGTTCAGAGCGGTGGCGATGGATGAACATGCCTTCCTTCCCCCTTTCTGTCTCTACTTCTCCTCCCTCATTCCTATTCCCACCTCCCTCCAGGCCATCTCACGGCACGCAGTGACGTCTACTCGCTGGGGGTGGTGCTTATGGAGCTGATGTCTGTACACCTTTCCCCCATCCTCACACCCTGCCTCTCCTTCCCCTCTCCTCATCCAGGCCATCTCATGGCACGCAGTGACGTCTACTCACTGGGGGTGAAGCTATTGGAGCTGATATTCCCTCACCACTCCTCTCACCCCCCTTGCCCCTCTCTCTCGCCCCTCCTCAGGTCACCTCACAGCCCGCAGTGACAATGGGAGTGGTGCTGCTGGAGCTGGCAATGGGCAGGTCACCCGCTGCTGCTGAGAAGAGCCGCCAACTCATGCCCCCCCGCCCCCTACCCCTACACCCATGCCCCACCCCCCACCGCCTTCCCCCCACCAGGTCATCTCACGGCACGCAGTGACGTGTACTCGCTGGGAGTGGTGCTGCTGGAGCTGGCAACGGGCAGGTCGCCCGGTGCTGCTGAGAAGAACCACCATCCCCCAACTCCCACCATTTTTGCCCCACCCACCACCTCACCCCCTTCCATTACTACAGGCCACCTGACCGCACGCAGTGACGTGTACTCGCTGGGGGTGGTGCTGCTGAGCTGGCAACTGGCCGATCGCCTCATGGCTGTAGGCACCACTCCCCACTTACCCACCCGTATGTCTCCAGGTCATCTCACAGCGCGCAGTGACGTCTACTCGCTGGGAGTGGTGCTGCTGGAGCTGGCAACGGGCCGGTCGCCTTATGGCTGTAGGCACCACTCCCCACTTACCCACCCGTATGTCTCCAGGTCATCTCACAGCGCGCAGTGACGTCTACTCGCTGGGAGTGGTGCTGCTGGAGCTGGCAACGGGCCGGTCGCCTTATGGCTGTAGGCACCACTCCCCACTTACCCACCCGTATGTCTCCAGGTCATCTCACAGCGCGCAGTGACGTGTACTCGCTGGGAGTGGTGCTTCTGGAGCTGATATCCTCACACCCACTCCTCTCCTCTCACCCCCCATGCCCCTCTCACTCCTCTCCCTCCGCCCAGGCCACCTCACGGCCCGCAGTGACGTGTACTCGCTGGGGGTGGTGCTGCTGAGCTGGCAACTGGCCGATCGCCTCATGGCTGTAGGCACCACTCCCCACTTACCCACCCGTATGTCTCCATGTCATCTCACAGCGCGCAGTGACGTCTACTCGCTGGGAGTGGTGCTGCTGGAGCTGGCAACGGGCCGGTCGCCTTATGGCTGTAGGCACCACTCCCCACTTACCCACCCGTATGTCTCCAGGTCATCTCACAGCGCGCAGTGACGTCTACTCGCTGGGAGTGGTGCTGCTGGAGCTGGCAATGGGCCGGTCGCCTTATGGCTGTAGGCACCACTCCCCACTTACCCACCCGTATGTCTCCAGGTCATCTCACAGCGCGCAGTGACGTGTACTCGCTGGGAGTGGTGCTTCTGGAGCTGATATCCTCACACCCACTCCTCTCCTCTCACCCCCCATGCCCCTCTCACCCCCCATGCCCCTCTCACTCCTCTCCCTCCGCCCAGGCCACCTCACGGCCCGCAGTGACGTGTACTCGCTGGGGGTGGTGCTGCTGGAGCTGGCAACGGGCAGGTCGCCTGGTGCTGCTGAGAAGAACCACCGCCTCCTGCCGTGGGTTCTTGAACACTTGCGTTGTTGCGAACAGATTGTACAGCAGACAGTGCAGCAGCAGCAGCAGCAGCAGCAGCAGCGGGAGGAATGTCAGAGGGAGCTGATGAAGCAACAAAATCAGCAGTTGGAGTGGCAGCAGCAGCAGTGGGAAGAGCAGGAGAAGCAAGAAGTGCACACTTCTGCCCCTTTTAAGTTGTGCTCCCTTATGGATAAAAGGCTGGGCGGAGTGTACAGTAGAGAAGGGGCCACGAAGCTGCTCATGCTTGCGAAACAATGCGTGAATGAGGACCCATTACAGCGGCCTGAGTTGGGGCTGATTATAACGAGTCTGGAGGAGGTTCTTTGCTTAGAGCAGCAGCAGCACTGAGGGAAATTCTGAGTCGACTAAGAAATGAATAAGGATTCATTCCAGCGTCTTGAGGTGGGGCTTATTATATAGAGTCTGGAGGAGGCCCTTGGTCAGGTTCAGAGAGTATGGGGCAGCAGCACCACCTCCAGCAGCACCAACAGCGCCACCTTCACCACAAACAGCAGCAACAGCAGCAGCACCACCACCACCACCACCACCACAACCACCACCATAACCTTCACCCGCAGCAGCACGACCACCACCAGCTGCAGCAACAGCAGGCTGGGCTGTGCCTCGTGCAACGTTGCAACTTGTGCAACGTATGAGGTGGGGTGCATTGGAAATGAAAGAGCACTTCAAGTTTTGCCAAATAAGACCTGATGCACTCGCACTTGTGGCGATATCATATTTCGGATGCTCCACCGTGTAAAGCAGCAAAAGAGACAACATTACGTTCTGTAAGTATGTAATATAGTCAGCTCCTCGAACACTCTTAGACTTTGGGTGTGCATCAAAATGTTCCACCAAAATAAATCACGTTTTATCATATGCTGGATGGCACTCTAATTTATTGGAAATACGTGCATTGGAAGCTGGAGTACAGCTGTGCTGCATTTGAAAGCAATTCGGTACAACTAGTAGTCTGAGAGTGCCCTCCGAAATTGTTGGATATCGGATAGAGTTTTCGTCAGATGGGTCGCTATGAGGGGCATGGAACTGCCAGGGGGACAATGTCCAGCGGAGAGGTTCAGCAGCTTTGAGGGATTGTGGTGGTGGCACAGCATGCTGATCTGGAATGACGGGGATGTGACATTTCCCGCTCCATTATCGTTATTGGGTCAGGTGAGGTACTTTTTTGCTTGGCAATCCCAGATTGGAGGCTAACGAGCGAAACTCGATTGGCTAACTTATAGCCTACAGCACCTTGCCACGTGTTCGAGAGTGTTGGTCCAGGCACGGGACACGGAGGGTCGCGTAACCTCAAACTTCTTCTCACCTCGTTTTTATCATCCAATGGCGCGCGAGCGGCTGATCAAGTCCTCCCAACGCAGGATCCTCGAGACAAACGGCGGTAATCTTCCCACGCCGGAATTCGCGATTTCCAAGAGCTGTCACGAGCGTCGCCTATTGCCTAACGACGGCCCACGAACATTCACGAGGAGAATCTGTTCCGAGCGTCCGACCAGCTAAATCTTCGGCTCGGCGACGCTGACATGCACGGGCCTTTGCTAGCCTGTCACAGTAGGCCCCGCCGAACGTCGGATACAGGCACGGAGCACGAGAATTCAGGCTTCGCTGGCTAATCCTCCTCGAATTTCGGTTGATGATTGGTTCATGTTGGTTTGGCGTATTCCTCTCTGTTTGGTTCAACGGCCGCTGGTTCAGCCTTGGAACCTGACTGCTTTTGCTTGTGCGAATGCGGAGGTGGTACCACATGGGGTTCGCCAGCTCTGTCAGTCTCCCCAGATGTCGGTTCATAACGTTCCCGCACGCTATGACACGGTGCTTTAAAATTAACCCTCTGGAACGTAGCAAACCGAACAGAAACCATGACGCATGAGCTGAGAGGGTGGGTATGGGCGAGGGTGGTTCAGTGAGTCAAGTGGAGGTTGGCTTGTGGACTGGCTGTTGTTTACTGCATTGGGAGTTGTGTGATTCTACTCACTACCTGTCAACCTCACGGGCAGTAGTCTGGTACCCTGTGGTGGAGTGGCGAAGGCTAGCCTTTCGTGTTGTGTTTTCCAATACTCACTGATTTTGAATAGAGCCATTCTGGAATCCAAGCTAGGCAAAAGCCGGAAGAATAATATTAGTTGTTCTCAGCTAAGTCTACACGGTTGACATTCGAGAACAAGGCCTGAGAAGCTGCTGCTTGCTGATTGATCCAGACAGACATTCGTGTCGCGATCAGCTTGGTGCTGGTAACTTCTGGCCGTCCAACAGATATTAACCTTAATCTTGCAGCATGGCGGCCCTTCAGGCTGGAAATGCGGTTCTCTGCTGCCATTCATTGAAGAGCATTTCTGATCCAGGTTCAAAGAAGTCTGCTGTGAATTCTGCCTTCTTCCGATCAGCATTAGCTACATCTCTCCATTCCAACCTCAAGTCTCATGCAAACATTGCAAGGTATGTCGCTCGTCCGGTCAACAACCCGTGAATGATTCACGCATTGTTACATTGAATGTGGCACTCAACAATTTACAAAAGGACTGATCAAGACGTTGTTCGTTGATATGCAGAGGATCGGCTTCAGTTCGGAGAGCCATTCGTGCTGAAGCAGCTTCGGACGTTCAACAAAACGGAGCAGCGACGGAAAGTATGTGATCGCATAACACACACACACACACACACACACACACACACACACACACACACACACACACACACACACACACACACACACACACACACACACACACACACACACATTATATCGAGAATCGATTGCTCGCTCGTTTTCTGCAGAATGTTGACGCCATTGTTAGCAGCTGCTTGACAACTGTTAGAAACTTTCGCTCCCTGGTGTTTCTCAAAACCTGTGTTGCGCAGAGGCCGCTGCACTGATCCTCATCCGCCACGGAGAGTCTCTCTGGAACTCCAAGAACCTCTTCACAGGCTGCGTGGACGTCCCTCTTTCGGAGAAGGGTGTAAATGAGGCCATTGAAGCTGGAAAGAGAATTTCCGAGATTCCCGTGGATGTCATTTTCACGTCCGCGTTGATCCGCGCTCAAATGACCGCCATGCTGGCCATGACGCAGCATCGCCGAAACAAGGTGAGAACGGCTTTCAACGTCACGATGAAGCGAGGAGTAAATAAATTCTCCTACTAATGGTTAGTGCTAACCTTGCTCAAACAAACTTTGCTTAAAGGTTTATTTCATAACACCCCCTGCGCTGCGTACTGGAGTGTACTGGTAACAAATCAAGGGTCCACGACCGAATTTTAGCCCTGACAAGCTCTCCGCAACGTTTTCCGTTCCTCATCCGCTACCGGTCTCTGTGCCAATGCGTGTCCATCCGGGTTCCTGTAATTCTGCACGAGCAGAGCCAGAGAGCAAAGGCCTCGACAATCTCTCAGTAATAGTATCTGTTATTCACCTCCGTCGCTTTCGCATTCCCTGTCTCTGTGACATTGCGTGTCCATCCAGGTTCCTGTCATCCTGCACGAGGAGAGCCAGAGAGCCAAGGACTGGAGCCGAATCTTCAGCGAAAACACGGACGAGGAGATCATTCCCGTCATCACTGCGTGGGAGCTGAACGAACGCATGTGAGTCTCGTGGTTCTTGGTTCTTCGATTCTATCACGCTGATGTCAGGTGTCGAAGCATTCTCCACTGGGCCACACTCCTAGTGGTCCGAGTCCCCAATCGCACGTTTGGCTGAAGCACGTTGACTTGCGCAAATCCATGAATGCACATGCTCCCACTCTCTCGCCAGTCCTGCAAGTCTTTATCATTGTATTGCTGGCTGCTTGAGTCGATTTCCTGAGGAACTTGTATCCCACGCTCACACACCCAAAATATTTTAGCCAACGTTGACATTCCAACGTTTGAGTGCAGCAAGCTCCAGGGACTGAACCAGGAGTCACCAGTCAAACAACTCAATCGTTTCCTTATGAGTCAGGAGTCCGGGGGAGTCCGGGGACTGAACGTAGGCGTCCCTTGTGCCTTGCCCTTGCACTCCCCATCCAACCTTTTCCAACCCTGGCGTGCAGGTACGGCGATCTCCAGGGACTGAACAAGAAGGAGACGGCAGACAAGTACGGCATGGAGCAGGTCGTCCTCTGGCGCCGATCCTACGACGTCCCGCCTCCCAACGGCGAGTCCCTCGCCATGTGCGCCGAGCGTGCCGTGGCATACTTCAAGGATCACGTGGAGCCGAGACTCACGGCGGGCGAGAATGTGATGATCGCGGCGCATGGCAACTCGCTCCGTGCCATCATCATGTACCTTGACAGCCTTACGTCACAGGAGGTACGTCGCGCGCCGTGTGAACTGCCATGTAGTGCTCTGTGCAACTTCCAAGGGAAGGGTGCGCTGAGCCTGCTGTGGCGTATTTCAAGGACCACGTGGGCTGAGATTCACGGCTGGCAAGAATGTGATGATTGTGGTGCACGGCTGAGATTCTCTCGGTGCCATCATCATGTGCCTCGACAGCCTCACCTCCCAGGGATATGTCGTTCGTTTCTGTGTAAACTGTTACGGCTCGACGCAACTTCTGGGCAGGTAGATTGTTAACCTGGCTCTCATCATGTGCCTAGACAGCCTGGTCTCGCAGAAGGTATGTCATTTTTCAAGTGAATTGTGAGTTCCATTGCTACGTTACGAGCATGACAACTCTGTTCACGCCATCATCATGTACCTTGACAGCCTCATATCGCGACGTATGTCACATGCCTTGTGACTCTTATGCTTCGCTCAGCACAACTTCCGAGCAGAGTGAATGGTTGGAACGGTTTTTTTTTCGGTTGTCAAGAGGAATCGAATTGGTTCCGTACTCACAGAGTGACATGCCAAGGGGATTCGTGAGGACAGATACGTATTTGTTAAAAAAAAATTGTGTTTGACCTGCAGGCTGCCAGGGATGGTGTGGGTGGGGAGATGACATCTGGGAAAGAAGTGAAATTGCCAGATTACTGTTTACCATTGCTTTTCCTCCGCCTTTTAGGGATCGTCATACTGCTATTCATTCTGCTGCTTTTTGCTGTCATTACGATGGAATGCTGCAGGTGATAGAGCTGGAGCTCTCTACGGGTGTCCCCATGCTCTACATCTTCCAAGGGAGCAAGTTCCTCCGCAGAGGCTCTCCCCTCCGCTCAAATGACATCGGCGTCTTTGCACTCACAGAGGTGAGACCTTCGTTGTGCATAGCTGATCGTTTAGTCGACACAAATGCCAACGTAGGGGCTCTCCTCTCCACTATCTCAGAATGATATTGGTGTCTTTGTGCCCATGGAGGTGAGTGCCTTCCGTCTTTCAGACGTTTCAGATGCACAGGAAGAGGGATTGGTATCTCTTAAACTCTTTTTTTCTTTCTTTCATTTCTCCAAGGGTGCCTTAGCACATGCGGAAACGACCTGCTTTTCATGGCTTCTCGTGCCCTTGGCACTTTACCCAATACTAATCTCGTCCTACATGCTTGCCGTGCTTCCCCCCCCTCCTCCTCCCCATCCCTTTCGACACACCGCACATTCACTAGTTAATTTTGCCGTTCTTCCCTGTTTAGTCAGTATTGTTTCCAATGCCTCGACAAATCCTCATTCTAGTCCTTCAATACTTCTATTGCTTGCCCTTCTTGCGTCATTCCCAGGACCTGGCACAATATAGAACCATGCTGGATACCATATCTGAAGGCCGGGGCTGACAGCCTGACAGAAATCTGGGGTTATAACTGCTTCTTACAGATGAGACATTGTGCAAGTATAGCTTGCACTAGCTAGTACAGTGTTACTTGGTGTGGCTGTGCAAACAGTCATTCCTTGCTGTATGCCTCTGTTTAATTTGGCTTTGGCTATCAATGATTCTACGTGTGGTTGTGCTTGCAATAGGTAGTATAAAATGTGCACTCCCATCCCAACCCAACCTTCTCATTTTCGTAGCCGACCTCATGCAGGCCATCCTGCTTGCAGCAAGGTGAAATGCTGCAGTTCACACAGAGGTCCTGACTGAGGTTTAGAAGCCCTTAGCCTTCAGGGCAGGTGTTCAATATTTTTTTTCGGAATATACCCGGTGTTAGTGCACGGTTCACATGCAACCTCCCTTTCCACCCACACAAGCATTAAATGTCAGAATGAAGAATGGATGATGCATTGATGTTGGTTGGGGTACATATAGCTAACCCTAAGTTTTGTACCCCCTAAGACAAACCTCACTATAGGCTACAACATTTGACACACCCCCATAGCCTAAGTGAGGGGTGTCTAGCAGAACCACACGAGTACGGTCACAAGACCAGTCCAAGAAACGAAGCTCAGGGTGGATCACAACGTCACCACACAGTCTGAGCACAAACAACAGTGGCCACAAGGCCAGTCCAAGAAGTAACAGAGGTATATAGAAAGCAAAGTAAACAGTACACTCAAGTCTAAGCAACACGAGAACCAGTGTCAACAAGGCCTAACTGCACACAGCACCTCTGGTGGTCACAAGGCGGAAGCGCCTTGGTGAAGATGTCTGCAGTGTTGGCCTCGGACTCCACAAACTCAAAGCGAGCCTGTCCACGCCTCTGCAACTCTCGCAGAAGAAAGTACCTGACGTGAATGTGCTTCACTCTGCTCTCCAGTCGTGGCTCTCGACAAAGGAGAATAGACGCCTTGTTGTCAGTGAACAAGGTCGGTGCAGAGCTCGGCCGCTCACCAAGGTCGGTGAGCAAGAAGGTCAACCAACGCAGCTCCTGTGCCGCCATGGCACCAGCGTAGATCTCAGCCTCAGCTGTAGAGGTCGAGACCGAAGAGGAGCGCGTGGACCGCCAGGAAACAGCTCCAGAACCCAGGCTGAAACAGTACCCCTGAGTAGACCTGTGAGTCTCAGCGTCGTCAGCGTAAGAGGAGTCACAGTGACCAGTAAGTACGACAGACTGCTGCCCTCCAAGAACTAGCCCCACGCCTGACGTCGTCGCTAGGTACTTCGCCACCCTCACAGCTGCTGTCCAGTGAACAGGACGGTGTCTCCCTGGCGCAACAAAGCGCGCAAGAACGCTGAGAGGGAAGGCGAGGTCCGGGCGAGTACAAGTCATCAGGTACATGAGGCAACCCACAAGCTCTGCGTAGGGACCACTAGGCTCGAACGGCTCGTCAGGAAAGGGTCCAGTGAGTCTGTGGTCAACAGCAAGAGGTGTGCGCTGTACTGTGGAGTGCTGAAGCCCGAACCGCTGAAGGACCTGCTGCACCATGTGCGACTGTGAAAGTGTAATGGTGCGAGCAGCTCTGTCCCTGGTGATCTGCAGGCCAAGGTAGTGGCGCAGCTCACCAAGATCAGTGCAGGTGTGTCTCTTCTGCAGTTCGGACTTCACGTGTGCCAAAGCAACCCTGTCAGGGGTGGCGAAAACAAGGTCGTCAACGTAGACCAGAACAAAGAAAGGTGTGGGGCCACGACGAACGAACAGCGACGGGTCAGCAGAAGACGGCTGGAACCCAAGGTCAGACAGGGTAGAACGCAGGGTGTCGTGCCACTCACGAGGAGCCTGACGAAGACCGTAAACCGGTCGCCTCAGCCTCCACTGGGTCCCAGGAGGGAAAGAGCCAGTGAAGGCAGAGGGACGACGCAACCAGACCTCCTCGTGAAGACTGCCCTGAAGGAAAGCAGTAGAGAAGTCGAGAGAGTGTAACTCATAGTCTCTCTGTGCTGCTACGTGTAGTAACACCCGAAGAGTGGTCATCTTCGGGGTGGGCGCGAAGGTCTGAAAGAAGTCAACTCCCTCGCGCTGACTGAAACCTCTAGCCACGTAGCGCGCCTTGAAGACCGGAGGAGATCCCGGTGGCCGCTTCACCCTGTAGATCCACATGCCGTCGACTACGTTCGCCCCCGGAGGGGGAACCTCATCGACGTAGGTGCCTGTGGATCTGTAGGAGGCCATCTCTGCGTCCATGGCAGCTCTCCACTGAGAGGCCCAAGGCCCTGACACTGCCTCAGCGTAAGTGCGAGGAGTCGGAATGTCAAGGGCGTCGGGGTCACCCTCGGGGGCGAGGAGCATGGCACAGAGATGAGGGGAAGCGGCCGCCAGGAACTCTAGCTCAAACTGCCTGTCCTCTAGGGCGTCACAACCAAGGGCAGACACACCCCCGACGGCCAGAGGACTGGAAGGAGGAGCAGCCACAAGAGCGGTGGCGAAGTCAAGGCGGCGGGTAGAGGCAAAGTCAGTGACTGCGGCAGTAAGAGCGGACACAGAGGACACAGAGGCACGAGGGTGAGTAACAAGCGAGGCGAGAACACGAGAGAGAAGAGGACGGTACGTGCGGTAGTAGTCAGTGACAGGAGTAGGGAGCGACGCAGTGAGAGCCGACTCAGGAGGAGACGGAAGCACAGACGGAGACGGACGAGGTGGACTAGAACGAAGTAAGGCAGTACGAAGGTCAGTGAAGGGAACAGGAGACGAGGGACGAGCACGAGGGGAGCGACGAGAGGCCCAAGTCTGAGAAGGAGGAGGGGACAACGAAGACTGAGAACGAGGGAAAACAGCGGGAGAGGGGTCAGGAGGAGGAAGCGGAGGACCAGAGACGGGAGGAGAGGGGGAGGAGGAAGGAGAGGGAGAGGGGAGACCAAGGGTCCGAAGACCCGAGACAGGAGGAGGAGACGGCAGCTGCTGCTGCTGCGGCTGCTGCGGCTGCTGCTGCTCCAGCGGCTGCTGCCCCTGCTGCTGTCGCTCCTGCTCCTCGAGCCGCTGCAACTCTCTCTCCTCTCTCTCCAACTCCAGCTGCTCCTCACGAGCACGGCGAACACGAGCCTGGAACCTGGTCGGGTAGGGGTGGGGGGAAGGAGTAGTGTCCGGGGCAGCGGCAGCCCCAGAGTCGACCTCCGAAGCACCAAGCACACCACCCCCAGAGGCAGCACCAACACCAGCTCCAGACCCAGGCTCTCCAGAAACCGAAGGAACACCCTCACCCCCAGACGCAGCACCCCCAGACTCCGCACCAGCACCCCCAGACTCCGCACGACCAGTACCAGCCCCCGGAAGAGAAGAGTCCTCTGCAACCCGCGGCTCAGCTCCAACTCCAGCACCCCCAGAACCAGAGACCTGTACAGGGACAGTCGCAGGACCAACCTCTCGAGAGGGAGCACCTACAGGAGGCGGTGAGGAAGACTGTGGGGAGGGAGGCTGTACAGGGGGGGCTACCGAAGGGGGAGGGCTAGCCTGAGACACACCAGACGGGGCTGGACCAGGGGGGGGAGGCTGTACCGGGGGAGCAGGCGGGGGAGCGGCTGTCAGGAAGAGGGGGGGAGGAGGAACCGGGAGACCTCGACTGGGGTACCTGACGTAGTAGGGGGTGGACTCCTCAAAACGGACGTCACGGGAGTCAAAGAACCGGTGAGAGGGAGGGTGGTAAAAGGTGAAGTCAGAGGAGTCCTCAGGGAAACCAAGGAAGACACAAGGAACGGCGCGAGGCGAGAGCTTGTCCGCGGAGGTGTCGCGGACAAGAGCCAAGCACCCCCAGACACGAAACCTCGACGCGACACCAGGGGACCCTGTCCAAAGACTGGTCGGTGAAGCCTCCGGCCGAGAGACGCGTGGCCAGAGGTTCAGCTGGTGCGCGGCGTACCTGACTGCGTATGGCCACAGGAAATGGGGGGCACGGGCGTGAGTCAAGGAGGTGCGGGCAATCTCCATGACCAGGCCTATGCGACGCTCAGCAACCCCATTCTGCTGTGGGGACTCCGGAAGCGTCCAGGACTGACGAATGCCCTGTTCGCGACAGAATCCAGCGAGAATGCCGGAGCGAAACTCGCCCCCGCGGTCGGAGTGGAGACAGCTGACACGACGACCACGAGTGTCCTGGGTGGTAAGCAACCACCTGATCAGCGTAGAAGTCACCTCAGACTTCCTCGCCAGGGGGAACACTGTGGTGTAGCGGGAGTAGTCGTCAACGACCACCAAAAAGAAACGCTCACGCTCAGGGCCAGGGCGAGGAGAGGGGCCCCAGACGTCCAAGTGCAGCGTCTCAAAAGGCTCGGTGGCCGGACGAAGGGAGGAGGAGTGAGGGGTGGCACGCAGCCTACCCTCGACGCAAGGACCGCACGGTGGTGCAAGGGACGGCGGCAGCGACGGCAAGACACGCGGGAGACCTAAGACCAGACGCTGACTAGACATAGCACGCAGACGTGGAAGAGAAGGGTGTCCCATCCGGTGGTGCCACAGAACGGTGGGGTGGGCAAGCGACCGACAGGAGCAAGACGCAGCGACTGGACTGGACGCGACAACCTGAGGGGACGGAACCACCTGGTGAGACGCAGGGAGGAGACTAGGGGGAGGGACAGGAACTGGGAGGAGTGGCTGCTGCGACGGCGGCCGCTGTGGCTGCGGCTGCGGCTGCTGCCGCTGCTGCTGCTGCGGCTGCTGCTGCTGCTGCAGTCGCTGCTGAGCGCGCGGGCCAGTGTGAAGAGTGTAGAGACCGGAGCCCGGCTCAGCAGCAAAAGTGGCGAGGGGCTGGTAAGAGTCCCCGTCAACACACACCGCAGTCTCTCCAGAAGGCTCAAACCACACACCCACGTGCTGACTCACGAGGGGTCGCACGCCCACCAAGTTCCGGGAGAACGAGGGGACGTGAAACCCAGTGAGAGACCCAGAAGGAGCAGCCGGACACGGCAAGGTGGTAGTGTGACGCGCGGTGACTGGTCCCGAAGTGGGATCAGCCAGCGCCACAGAAACAG